CAGAGATACACAGAGATACACAGAGATACACAGAGATACACAGAGATACACAGAGATACACACAGAGATACACAGAGAGATACACAGAGATACACAGAGAGATACACAGAGATACACAGAGAGATACACAGAGATACACACAGAGATACACAGAGATACACACAGAGATACACAGAGATACACACAGAGATACACAGAGATACACACAGAGATACACAGAGATACACACAGAGATACACAGAGATACACACAGAGATACACAGAGATACACACAGAGATACACAGAGATACACACAGAGATACACAGAGATACACACAGAGATACACAGAGATACACACAGAGATACACAGAGATACACACAGAGATACACAGAGATACACACAGAGATACACAGAGATACACGCAGAGATACACAGAGATACACACAGAGATACACAGAGATACACACAGAGATACACAGAGATACACACAGAGATACACAGAGATACACACAGAGATACACAGAGATACACACAGAGATACACAGAGATACACACAGAGATACACAGAGATACACACAGAGATACACAGATACACACAGAGATACACAGATACACACAGATATACACAGATACACACAGAGATACACAGATACACACAGAGATACACAGATACACACAGATACACACAGATACACACAGATACACACAGATACACACAGATACACACAGATACACACAGATACACAGATACACACAGATACACAGAGATACACACAGATACACACAGATACACACAGATACACACAGATACACACAGATACACACAGATACACACAGATACACACAGATACACAGAGATACACAGAGATACACAGAGATACACAGAGATACACAGAGATACACAGAGATACACAGAGATACACACAGAGATACACAGAGAGATACACAGAGATACACAGAGAGATACACAGAGATACACACAGAGATACACAGAGATACACACAGAGATACACAGAGAGATACACAGAGATACACAGAGAGATACACAGAGATACACAGAGAGATACACAGAGATACACACAGAGATACACAGAGATACACACAGAGATACACAGAGATACACACAGAGATACACAGAGATACACACAGAGATACACAGAGAGATACACACAGAGATACACAGAGAGATACACACAGAGATACACAGAGAGATACACACAGAGATACACAGAGAGATACACACAGAGATACACAGAGAGATACACACAGAGATACACAGATACACACACAGATACACAGATACACAGATACACACACAGATACACAGATACACACACAGATACACAGATACACACAGAGATACACAGATACACACAGAGATACACAGATACACACAGATACACAGATACACACAGATACACAGATACACACACAGATACACAGATACACACACAGATACACAGATACACACACAGATACACAGAGATACACACAGATACACAGAGATACACACAGATACACAGAGATACACACAGATACACAGAGATACACACAGATACACAGAGATACACACAGATACACAGAGATACACACAGATACACACAGATACACACAGATACACAGAGATACACACAGATACACACAGATACACAGAGATACACACAGATACACAGAGATACACACAGATACACACAGATACACACAGACACACAGACACACACAGACACACACAGACACAGACACACACAGACACACACAGACACACACGGACACACACAGACACACACAGACACACACAGACACACACACAGACACACACACAGACACACACACAGACACACACACAGACACACACACAGACACACACACACACAGACACACACACAGACACGCACACAGACACACACACACACACAGGTAGAACCCATACCCAAGCTCTACATTTTCACGGCCTTGACCACCCCCTGCTGTGGCTATGGCGTGCTGCTGACACCTTGCTCTTGTCAGCCACTAAGCAGCGTTTGCCTTGCGTATCAAATGACATTTGCAATCAACTTGATTGGAGCCCAGTCCAAGCAGCAAAAGACCTGATTGCCACAGTGCATGATTCAGGCCTGCCTGTGCCTGACAACATGATACCTTCTGCAGAGGTGGCCACTGACATGAATTTCCAGTGCCAACACTGTTCATTTTGTGCATCGAGCCTCACAGTCTTGCGTCGACATTGCACACAAGTCCATGGTAATGCACGATATCGCAGATTCATTCCACAGGTATCACAGTACATGCATCAAGGGTTGCCTGTATGTACGCAATGTGGGTTGACATTCACCACTTGGAGACGGTTCATCATTCACGTGCAACGTGGCTGCCAGGCTGCCTCAATGGAAGCACGCACTGCCCGGCCCATTGTGCCGTTTGCTGACTCCGCCAACCACTCAATTGGCTCATCGGAAGGAGGGACCACCCTGCTGACTTCTGCGGATATTGACACCATCCAGAAGCTTGAATTTGGCCCCCGCCTCTTGACGCTGATCAAACATCGACGCTGGCCTGATCTGCTGCGTGAACGTGCAGGTTGCTTGTATCTCTCCCGTCACTGCCTGCTGTGCGGCCAATACGTAGGCAGGGCACAAGCGATGCATCACCATGTCAGAGCCGTTCACCGAGCAGCCATTGACCAGGTACAGACAAAGGCAACTCAGTTGACGAACCTGCATAGCGATGAGAGTCCTTGCACAGCATGCGGGGTGACCTTCATCTATGGTCACTCCTGCAACGTATGGTTCCAGGTTGCCCTTTTGATTGTCCACGGCCCGAGGATGACAGCTACCTCAGCAACTGAGTCACCGGTGCATCTGCAGTGCGAGATATGTGGCATCACCTGTGAAACTTCTCAGGAACTCCATGCCCACCTGAGACAAGAACACAGATTGGTGAGCTCAGTCTGGCAAGAAAGCAGGGATAGCTTCCAGGGAGATCCCGTTTGCAACCACTGCCATCTTTTGTTTCAAACGATGGCTGGATTGCGTTCTCACATAAACCAGGGCAGATGTGAGAAGTTTGACCCAGATCTTTCTTCCACACCCTCTCCTGTCCTGGACATATGGCGGGAAGCCTGCTGCCAAGGTGCCTTTGAGCAGGTGCTCCAGAGCTCGCACAACAAGCTCCGCCTGACACTTCAATGTCAATGCTGCCCCAAGAGGTACACTCGTGCCGCCGACTTGTCGGCACACATCCAGGGCTCCCATGCAGAGATCTGGAGTGCTGCACAATTCCTGGTGCACCAGATGGTTCAACGGTACTATGGCACCTTGGGCTGTGTTTGCAACCCATCATGCAATGTGAACAGACTTCATCACATTTGCTTGCCGTTCTGGCAGCTTGCAATGCAATTTGTGCGCCTCCCCAATGCGATTTACATGCCAGCCTGCCAGCGCACCACTGAGATTGCCAGGGTCCTGCCTCCTCATGTCCCAGCTGACCAGCGTGAATCCCTGGAACAAGCTCTTGGCAGATATGATCTGACGACGGTGTGGACTGACTCCCTGCTCCTGGACACCTTGAGTGGCAGCTGCTTGCTGTGTGGCCTCGACATGCTGCCGGCAGAACTGTACTATCACCTGCATGAGGCGCACTCTGGTCTGCATTCGGTAGTCAAATCATATGTCACACAATTGCAGTCGCACGTCATGCCACACTTCGATAGTGATTGTGCCTGCTTTGCATGTGGCCAGATTTTCAATACCCCAACAGCAGCCACTGATGCCGCTACACTTGCCTCCAGACAACAGCTGGTTCAAGCACACGTACGTGCACAGTGCCCAAGCGTCTTGCAACTTGCTGTGCTGCTCTCCCATATCCACTATGGAGCCAGCAGATTGGCAGATGGAGAACGATGGAGCCATTCAACAGATGCTGCAATCCTTTCAGAACCTGGTGCCTCTCCTGGATCCCAACCTGAAGTTGCAGCCAAACCCAGGCGCAAGCAAAAAACAACGCAGACTTCCGGCCGAAGAAGCAAATGGCCGCGCTCAAACACCAGGTCCTCGCCAAGAACAAGCCCAAGATCAACGGAAGATCCTGGAAATGATGGCGCGACTGCTTCTGAGAGTGGATCGAGACCTACAGGTGCTGCAGCGGGAAACCACCTTCATCTTCTATTTCAGCTGCAACGAAGAAACGGGAGTGCTCCCTCAGCTGCTGCAGGTGGCGGACAAGTGGCACAAGGACATGCAGGCGGGTGCATCATCATCGAAGATGCCATTGAGACAGGTCCTGTCGCAAACAGTGATCCATACACTGGCGACACGGGTCACCAAACTGCTGGAAGCCCAGGAAGATTCCCAACTGATGCAAGTGGCCCGGAAATCCCAAATTTTGCTGGAGAACAAGACGGTGCCGTTCATGGAATGGAATGGACACGAGCAACGCCTGCAGATCTCCAGCAAAACTCCAGTGAGCTTGACCAAAATGAGCCAGCACTGCACCGAACTGATGGACAGCTTCAGCAATGCCAACCTCATCATGAAGTTCCACTCGCTGCCCACCAAGCAGGGCAGCCTGGTGACTCCCTGGCGTCTGCAGATGTCATGCAGGGAGGACAGGACATACGAGCTGCTGGCACATCTGGCTCAGTCCCAAATTTGGACGCTCCTGGCAGCCAGCCTCAAGATGCACAACCAACACCAAAGCTCCCTGGCGACCAATATCGAAACCAGCCTGGGACTGAAACCGAACAAGGGTCAGGGAAAGGGCAAGACACGCCACAAAGGCAAAGCCATGAAGGAGCTCAAGACCGAGGCATGATTGATCAGTCCCAGATGATTGAAATTGTCTCCAAGATGGAGCTTGCAAATCCGAACAATTGGTGCTTCTGCAATGTGGCTGTTTACTCCATGCTTTGGACGTTGCTGAATCTTCGAACCTATGAGCCAGCAATTTGGGGTACGCAATGTCAAGAGATCATGAATTTTTTGCTGACTGCCTGCCAAGGGCTGTGTAGCTTAGCCGCTCAGCCTTTCTTTCGTGAGATCTTGCGGTGTTGGGGCCGAGATGATCTTGGACACCTTGTGTCCACCATCTCACAACAGGACTCGTCAGAGTTCATCCATGTTTGGTTGCAGCAAATGCAGACCTCAGCCTTTTGGATGCAGTGGGAAAAACGTGTGATCATTTCCGATGCTCCTCATGCAATGGATGCAAGCAGAGAACGTTACATGCCCATATGCCTCAAGTTTGATGAACTCTCAGTGCGATCTGATTTTTGCACCTTGAACTCCTTGATTTCAACTTGGCAACAGGTGGATGGCATGACCACAGCGCTTCTTCATGCCCCTGACTGCCTATGCGTGCACATTGACAGATGTGTGCTGAATCCTGACATGTCCATTTCCAAATGTAGGAGCAAACTGCAGACGGATGAAGAGTGCTTTTTTCCTGTTTTCACTGGAGATGGCATTGCACATGTTTTTCATGGATATATGGTGGTTGCGGTGATGTCCCACTTGGGTTCAGATGCTGCTGGCCACTACAGAGCGGCCATGAAAATTCGCTCAATGATTGGGCAGTGCAACAATCCGATTCAGTGGCTGATCACCGATGACTGGCGCAAACCGGAGGCAGTCTGGACTCAGCCCATTTGGATTCAGGAAGAAACCACCATGGCCTGGCTTGTGAAAACGGAGCGACTCCAGCAGCCATTCTACACACCTTCACATGACCCATGCCGCTCTTCAACTGCTGAGCTCCTTCGCATGTTGGCTGACCCTATGACTTGATGCAGACTTCAAGGAAGGCATGTTTTTGAATTTGAGATTTTTCTTCATTGTGGCTCATTGCCACTTTTTTTTTCACCATCCTGGGGCCATGAAGATTCCTTAACGGAACCGCCATTTTACCAATTGGCGATGGCTGGCATAGACCTTGCAGCATGAAAAGGCGTGTGCGCAAAAAAAACACAGACACACACACAGACACACACACAGACACACACACAGACACACACAGACACAGACACACACAGACACACACAGACACAGACACACACACACAGACACACACACAGACACACACACAGACACACACACACACAGAACAACACACACAGACACACACACAGACACACACAGACACACACACAGACACACACACACAGCACACAGACACACACAGACACACACACACACACACAGACACACACAGACAACACACACACAGACACACACAGACACACACACACAGACAACACACACACAAGACCACACACACACAGACAACACACACACACAGGACCACAGACACACACACACAGACAACACACACAGACAACCACACACAGACACACACACACACACAGAACACACACACACAAGACACACACCACACACGGACACACACACACAGACACACACACAGACACACACCAACAGACACACACACAGACCAAACACACAGACAACACACAGACACACACAGAACACACACACAGAGACACCACAAGACACCACAGAACACACACACACCAACAGACACCACACACAGACACACACACAGACACAACACAGACACACACACAACACACACACAGACACACACACAGAAACACAACAGAGACACAACAACAGACACACACACAGACACACACACAGACACACACACAGACACACACACAGACACACACACAGACACACACAACAGACACACACACACACAACACACACACAGAAGACAACCACACAGACACACACACGACACACACACAGAACACACACACACGACACACACACAGACACACACACAGACACCACACACACACACAAACAGACACACACACCAGAACACACACAGGGACACACACACAGACACACACAGACACACAGACACACACACAGACACACACACAGACACACACAGACACACACAGAGACACACACAGACACACACAGACACACACAGACACACACAGACACACACAGACACACACAGACACACACAGACACACACAGACACACACAGACACACACAGACACACACAGACACACACACAGACACACACACAGACACACACACAGACACACACAGACACACACAGACACACACAGACACACACAGACACACACAGACACACACAGACACACAGACACACACACACACAAGCTCCTGAGCGGTCAAGAGGTGAGGAACCTCGCGTAGCTAGCCAGTCTTCCTTGCCCCCCGCACGTGTTGGTACTTGTTCGCTGACATATCCAGCGCTGTGCTGTGGCCTTGCATTTGGTGGAGACGCTCTGCTGACGATCCCGCGAGCACTTTTCGGCAGCTCTCTGCTACATCTACTGGCTTCTCTTCGATTTCTGGCCTGATCTACAGGGGTGGCTCCCTGGCAACCTTGGTGAATGGGGTGGGCTCCCAATTATTTTTCTGGCCTGTGGATCTACGTATTTTTGGGTGCGGCATCTTATTGGTTTGGACCTTTTGCACTGCTGCTGGACAACGTTCCCTTCAGTGCTTTGGTGGCATTCTTTTTATTTGCCCTACTTCCATTTCTGGATTTCACAGCCAAGATTACAACGGAGACACCACATCGAGGTGATCATCAGAAACAGACTGCTAGCCGGTCCCAATTCCGGCCATCTGTTCACATTGGCAGGGTTCTTTTCATTTGGCTTCTTCTTGAATTTTGTCAATTAGGTGGACAGATGAGGAGCGAGGGTTTCATCACTTCCATGGGTGATGAGAGAGCGGCTTCTTCTTTTGCTTTGACTTCCAGAGCCGCGAAAATACATGGAGTGGAGCCCCGACAGATTTTTGAATCAAAGACTAGCACTAATTCCTCTGTCAAGAAAAGGAGTTATAGACGTGCCCTCCAAAGAGCGAGAAAACATGGGTATACTTGGTATCGAGGTAAATTGCGCAGTGCACATCAGATGGGAGTTCAAATGGACAGCATCCCTGAGAAAAGAACTACCACCAATGTTGAACCACCGAAATACAGACAAAGAAGAAGGTTAACTTGCTTCTCTTGGAACTGCTCTGGACTATCCCCACCGGAGTGGGACATGCTCCAAATTTGGCTGGATTCCCAAGCCATTGACGTGATTATGCTGCAGGAAACACATTGGAGCTACACCCGAGAATGGCTACAAGAGAAGTACTATGCCATCCATTCAGGTGCACAGACACGACAGGCGGGTCTTCTCTGCCTTATTTCCAAGCAAACATGTAGACAGCATGACATCTCTTGGCAGGAAGTAATTCCCGGTCGGATCTTACATGTGAGGTTACACGGTGTGGCAAGAAGTGTTGATTTGATCAATCTTTATCAACATGTTTTTCAACCTTGCAATTTGGAATATCGTTCTGAACTCTGGTTGAAATTGAGTCACCTGCTATCAACCTTTTCGAAGAAAAATGCTTTGATCTTGGCCGGGGATGCTAACTGCTCGACAGACCAAAGATGCAGCGCCGTCGGATATCCCACATATGCACGGCATGGACAGCGTCACTATGGATCCTTGCACACAGACTCACATATTTGGACACAGATGCTTAAGCAGTTCAACCTAATTGCTCTCAACACATGGAGTCCTTGCAATGGTGCCACTTATGAATTCAATCATCAACATTCCAGAATTGATTACATCATTTGTCGACGTGAACATGCTGACAATTTGGCCAGAGATGCACAACTTCTTCATGATTTTTCGATGCTACCTCTTTCGGGAGCCTTTCACACTCCACTTCTGACCACACTCAGGAAGGATTGGTTTCCATCGGAGGGCACATCACAAACTGGATGGACCAGGCAGCAGAGACTTCAACTTCATCAACACTGCATTCGACAAGACACGGTGTTTGAGCATTTTCAACAACAAGTCAATAACGTGGTACAACATTTGGTCGAGCACACCACTCCTGATCTGCAGACCCTACATGATCATCTCATGCGTTTCTCTGGACAGGTCTTCAACACTGCCAAAACAGTGGCAACTCATCGACAAGCGCTGGGACCTTTTAGAAGATTTCAAGAACACACTCGTCAGCTACGACAGGTGACTGGAACGGGCCTTTTTGATCTCTTTCATGCATGGCATCATGTACAACAGAGATGCAAGGCCAGAAGAGACATGTCACACACATCACGTACTGCAAGAAAACAAAAGCTGATGCAGGTCTATGCCACGGCTGAAAGAGCTGAGAAGGCCAAGGACCATTTCACCATGTTTCAGGCAATTCGTGAGCTTGCTCCAAAACAATCTAAACAGAGAATCATGATTCGTGATGCCCAGGGCCACCTACTGGGACCATGTGAATCAGCCGACTGCATCCATGACTGGTATCAAGCCAACTACTCAGCTGAACCTCAAGCGCCCAGCGATGTTTCACTTGACTGGCCTTTTGATGAATCTGAGCTCTCAAAAGGATTGAAATCATTGCCCACGCACAAGGCGCTGGCACCATCGTATGCCCCTGCGCCAATGTGGAGGTATGGAGCTGATCGTATAGCTGAGTACCTTGACCCAGTGCTTCACGATTATTGCAGGCGTGGAAACTTCCCCCAGTGCTGGGGAGCTGGCACACTTGCGCTGCTTGTCAAACCAGGCAAGCGTGGACAACACCCATCGGAACTTCGACCCATTGCCCTGCTCGAGCCGACCAGCAAGGCGACGATGGGACTTGTTGCCCGTGCACTGCAATTTGACATTCAACAAACCTTGCATAGGTTGCCACTATTTGCATATTTGGGTCGACGAGGAACGGAGGACGCTATCCATAGAGTAGCTTTACACTGTTCTGATGTTCGTGGCAAGTTGAAGTCAATTGGGTACCCTGTTCACCGAATGCAGCAAGGAGAACAATTGCCTGCCCTCGTGGGTGGCCTATCACTGAGCCTGGATCTGACACGGGCTTTTGACACAGTTGATCGTGCAAGATTATTTCAGGGTTTGACAATGCTTGGTGTGAATTCTAATCTTGTGTTGCTCATCCAAAAGATTTATCAACAAACTTCCTATGAATTTGAGCATCGTGGTGTCCTAAGACGCTTTTTGACCTACAAAGGTATCAGGCAAGGGTGCATGGCGGCTCCCTGCTTATGGTCAGCATTTGCAGCAATCCTTTTACTGCAGGCCACAGAAGCTCTCACTTGGACATTTGTGCTCAATTTTATTACAACGTTTGCTGATGACTTCTGCATTCATCAACACTTCACTTCAGACTCCGAATTTGAGGCCCTGATCAAAGCTCTTGGAGTCATCTTGGACATCATTGAGGGTGCCAATTTAGAGCTGAACGTTGTGAAAACCACGGCAACCTTGAGAATGAAAGGAACACTGCTGACGAAAATTCAGCGCAAGCATCTTCACAGAACCACCCAAGGCGTTTTCCTGAAAATCCCACGACAAGATGGAACATTCACGCACATCAAGCTTGTGAAGTCATTCAGATACCTTGGCATCATGTTGTCGTATTTCAATTTTGAACGTGAAACGATGGAAATGAGGATCAAGCACAGTGCACAGACTGCGCAACAACTTCATCGATGGATTTACTCGACAAAAAGTATCCCCATCAAGAGCAAAGTACGTATTTGGTACCAATGTGTCTTCACTTGCCTCCAATATGGCATTCTCTTCACAGGCATCAATGAAAGTACTGCTCTTATGCTTCATCGTTTTTGCTTGCGGCAGGTGAGAAGATTATACAAAGAACCAGTTCATCTTACACATGAAACTCATCAGGATTTCCTGTACAGACATCACTTGCAAGATCCTCTGATGCGGATGATCGACATTTGCTGGAAGACTGCAGACCGATTTTACAGGCGACTTACTCAGATTGATCAGGATGACATATTGCATCAAACACCAATGCCACAGTTTGAAGCAATTTCACAAGTTCTGAGACAGGTGCATGATCGACTGAGCAGCTTTCCAGACGTAGCAGAGGCTTCGACCACACTGCATCTACATGAATGTCATCATTGTCATGCTGTTTTTGAACATCAACACGCACTGCGCAGGCACCTCACGGTGAACCATGGCGACAGATCAGGCATGCTGCGCACAATGGCAACACAACCTCAACTGTCCACACCAACTTGTCCCAGATGCGGTTCATATTTTAGCTCATGGCATGCCTATAGATACCATCTTCAATATGTTTGCACTTCTTCATGGCAGGAGATCGACCAAGTGGAACACAGACTCAGGGTTCAGGAGCTTCTGAGATTTGCGAGGGCCAATCAGATTGCAGAACTTCGGCATAATCCAGATTTGCTGAGTTATTTTCAACATCATTGTGCGATTTGTCAGAAGTTTTTGTCCACATTGACGGGACTGATGCGACATTGGTCATCTGCACACCCACAGACCTTCAAAGATCATGTGCCGGCATTGAATTATTTTTGCAAACATGTGGACGCTGGGAATCCATGTCAGCTTTGCACAGTTGCATACACAAAGTACCATCGCTGTGTGATCAACAGACAGCTTGCGATGGTGATCACGGAGATGCAACTTGTTGAGCTTTGATGTGATATCAGTGAAAATCCTGACCTTAGCTGTCGACATTGCGGCAAGGCATACACAACGCAACATGGACTGGCCCAACATGTCCGACGCTTCCATGAAGCTGAAGAGGCTCTCAGTGATCATACATGAGGCAACTTTGAAGCCAGATGTCTGATGGAGCAGGCAGTACAGACTCGCAGCAGCGATGCGCTTCTTGACGATCCCAACATCCTTCACTTCGCGGCTTCTCAGTGTTTTGCCTGCACACAAACTTTCAAAAGAAAGCAGGAATTAGTCAGGCATCTACGACATTCGCATGGATCAGAATGGAACACCATTGAACGCATGGCATCGGAGATGATGACATCACCCACTTTGACCAAGCGTTGCTATTGTATTCCTGTTCAACATCACACCAAGCACATTTGCCTGATTTTCCTACAGTTTTCTCTTGCCAGGCTACTACATGATCGAGAACATCAACAGATCTCAGATGAGCTTCCTCCAGATGTGACCCTGACGACGCGTGAAAGGGTGGAACAATTGCTGTGGTTTGGATGTGGCAAATACCTCTACAAACTGCCTGACCTGAAACTTGCGCTCACTGTGACATGCCAGCTTTGTGGTGAGGCGTGCAGGAATGGGGATGACCTGGCCTTGCACCTATACGACAAACACCATGGAGACATCGCTGAATGCACTGCACAATTGCAACGGATCAAGTGGGCTTTGTTTCAGCAGTTTGGTTGCGCTTGCAACCCCACAAGGGGATATGGCACGCCAAATCATTGCTGCCCAGCTCTGATTCAGGTCGCTTTGATCTGTGCACAGGCACACTGGAGCATTGCACCCCCATGGGTCTATCGAACCAATGAGATCTTGAGATCTTGTCCTATGTGGGAGATTTGCTCCCCCTGGAGGCTCTGAGACGCATTGCCCTCAACCTGCTGACGCGTCACTTTGAGCGCCTGTGGAATGATCCTGATCTCTTGTCACTGCTCAGACACTACTGTGTTTACTGCGGTGAACCAGTGCCACTCACTGCAATCAAAGCGCATGTCAGAGTCTCACATAGAATCGGGGACACGGAGCTGCAAGCAATGATTGATTTGCTGTGCAAGGTTTTCTTGGCAGACCATTCAGATGATGAACGATGCGACCATTGTGGTGACCTCCTGCCTGTCTCTTTAGACGATTTGGTTCCACAACCAGAGCTGCACCTGCCTCACTGTCATCTGCTCTTACAATTTGCGATCTTTTTACTGCACCCTGTATTGCATCGAGAACCTTTTGCACCTGATCGTTGGCCCACTCGACAGGAGATTGCTGACGCATATCAGAACATGGAGCTTCAGCTCTCGATGTATAATGTGCATCCCTCAGATGTGGCTGGCAGTGATTTTGATCTTTTGGTGAATTGTGGCTTACAGATGTTGCATGATCCTCACATCATTGAAGTTCTTCCACATCAATGTCTCATTTGCGGTAAGAATTTCTTTTTGATCAACAAGTTGAAACAACATTTGCAAACCCACAATTACAAGCAGATGAATACCTTGTGGTGCTTGAGACGCCTTGGCCACCTTCACAGGCCGTGCACCCTCTGTGGCTCAGAAACCCATTCGGTGCTGACTGACTGTGTAGCCCTTTTCAACCTTGCTGTCTTACTTACGAATGGCAGAAGACCTCGACAGTGCGACAACGATCTGGGGTGGCTTACTGACAGCCGACCAATTGAAGGTCTTAGGCGTCTCAGACAAGCAGGACGAGACTCAGAACAAGAGGCCACGGAGGAAGGACAGACAGCGTCCACCATCCCTGGCATCTTCGCCAGCCTCCACCGACATGCTCCAGATCCTAGCCAGAATGGCATTGCGACAGGAAGCCAATATGATGGCTCTGCTCCAAGAATCGGAGTTCATCATTCACATGGCACCTGGTCAAGCTTCCCTCCTTGCGATTCTACTGAAGACCCATCAAGAATGGAAAGCCGGCCCCAAGGCTCAGCCCTTGAGACACTGCATGACCCTTCGTCTGATGGAGACCATTTTGGAACGGCTGGAGAGACTGTACCAATCACAGCCTTCAGGGGAAGTCTTCTTGGAGTGCATCAAGCACAATTTGATAGACTCCAATCGTACCATGCCCTACCTGAGATGGGATCAGTCAGCACGCAACTTGACACCAAGCAAAGAGAAAGCGCTGCCCATTGGCGAGGTGAGAACAACGATGCAGACCGTGGTACGCATCCTCCAGACAGATCACCAGGTGGTACTACGATTCCATGCAATGACCAAGCTTTCACAGGAAGAAGCTCCGGCCAAGACCGTCCCATTTCTCCTGACGATTGGGAATCGGACGCACGGGGAACCGGGGAATCAACTGCACAGCATCTCGTATCACTCCATTTGGCAGCTTGCGTTATGCACCATGAGGCCTCAGACGCAACAAAGAAGCAACCTTGGACGGCAACTCCAGAAAATGCTGTGACAGACCTGAGAGATGACAAAGTCAAAAGACTGGTCAGGGTTCTTCTGAACACTACGGGCACAGCATGTTACATCAATGCTTTCCTGGTAGCGCTCAGTTGGCGCACTTTGCTTTCAAACTGTTTGGAACCTGACCAATGGCAATTTGGTTTCGAACTTATGCGGGGATTGACTCAATGGTCATGCGTACCGTTGAATGTGCAGCTTTACCCACCATTCAGGTGGCTGCTGACAGGGGTTTGGTCGGATGATGAACTTTTGGCACAACAAGACATTATTGAATTTGGTTCCATTTTGCTCTCCCGAATGATGCCGAAGTTTATCTCCTGTAGTTGGACGACACGTCTCCAACACGTGACCAAGGAGGTTCATCCACACTTGGACAGCGAAAAGGGAGCTCAACATTCACCAATTTTGTTGCGTTTTGTTGACACCAATGCCCCCTGCAGCAGTTTAGTGGCATTGATTGACTCATGGCACGACTCCTCAGGTCTTTGCCGTGCAAATGACCAGGCCTGTCCTTGCCTCATCCTGATGCTTGATAGACATTTGCCAGGTTTGAATCAGAAGTGTCAACAACGTGTGGACATTGCGGATGGGACAGTGCATTTTCCTTGCTTTATTTCTGATGATGGTGCAATTTCATTCACCAAATTTGACATTGCTGCGATTTCATTTCATGTTGGCAACAACCCCAACAGTGGACATCATCGTACAGCTGTCAGATATCAGAAACAATGGCTTGTCTATGACTGCCGGATATCATGCCTTTCTTGACAGATCAGATCCTTCAGAACATCACTTTGATTTGGCTGATCCAGTGCAACCCTGTTGCTGCCAGGACCATCAATGATCGGAGCGGAGTTGCCCCTGGACCTCCACCACGATCTGCACAGCTTTCTTTGCATGACAGCACTGATGACGAACGGCCTGCACAGGAAGATGACATACCAGAATTGGGTTCAGCCATTGCCTTGCTGACCAGACCTGATCAAAGCTTGAATGCCCCACTGGATGCTCAACCATTGGCATCAGCAGGATCAACAGCTGCACCATCTACAAATGTGACAAATGATACCTCTGATGTCACACTGACTCAGGCTGCAAAGCGAGCTCGTGTTCACGAAGACACTACGTTGGAGCGGTTCGATGAGTTACTCTCCTGCCCTGATGCTGATGTGCCTTCGGATCACCTTGCACCAGCTCCTTAGATGCAACTTAAGCGCTGCTGCGGGCTCTTCCTTGCTGCGCTGTTGCAGTGCAGACTGCATTTGGTGCGCTGCTGCTGCCGCGGTTGCGCGCTGCTGATGTGGCAATTCATCCATGGTGCTGCGGTGCCGCTGAGTGAATGGTGAGAGGCTTTAGTGCGTGATTTTTCACCCTAGGCTGATTTCTAGCGTTTTGCTTTTGCCGGGAGCCGATCTGAAACTGATCTCTGTCCCCCCTTTTACATTTCTCCTATTCCATTTTCTTTGACATGAGTTGCAACAGCTGGTGATGCAAACAACCACCTGCTCACTTTTTGAGCTGTTGACAACAGACAACCCTAAGGGGTATCAAACTAGTGCTGGTCTTAAGTCCCATTCAACATCACCCGGACGTCCAAATGGTGGTGGCATTGGGCCGCGTGACAACACGTGCTAGGGCTTCGCCTTCTGACCTGAATGAAAGAGTCAAGGGGTCCCAAAAAAAACACACACACAAGCCCCTTTGCAGTCACCAGTGCTGCTTCAAGAGCGAGGAGCTCTAGTGCTACAATAGCCCAGTCCACGTGCCTCTCTTGCCATTTGCTGTGTCGCATCCCTGTTCATCCACTGGCACAACGTTTTGGAGTTGGCCATTTGAGTGAGGCCCATCAGCGTTTTGGTGCATGTGCGTTGGTGTCATCTTTCTGATTTGCCTTTTGATTGCGGTGAAGCTTGGAACTGGATACACCAACCAACGTGCCCAGCCATCATTTTGTTGCACTGATTTTCACTGCTCTGACTTTGGGGACTGCGGGACAGAGTGGATTGACTTTGTCTCTACTTCAGCTACCTGCTTTGCTCCCAATTCGAGTGCGCTGAGTTTTTCACCAACTGCTGACGACGGATTTTACAGTGCAACAAACGAATCATTTTGGCATTACAACAATTTCATCCAACACAGTGCAGTTTGGAATTTTTGCATTCTGGCGTTTTCTGCAGGGTCGCTCCTGTTCAAATTTTCCCAGCTTTACAAGACGATTTCAATACGTTTCATTTCTGGATTAATTTCTTTACTGGCCTTTTCTGGCGGGTGGCTCCGCACAAAGCAAGCGATTACACAGCATTGTTCAGCTGGACACCAGATACATCGACGCATTACGCAATTGTTTATTTGCTTGACACATTGGCACAACTGGGTGAATCTGCAGATATCACCACAGCACCTCAGCACAAATCGCAAATCCGGTCCCAAGTCCGGACACTCGGCGTTTTTCAGAACAGCATCAATTTGCGGCATTCTGCTCTTGCCCTGGACTTTTATCATGATCACCGCTGACAACTTGATGTCATCACAGCCTGAGCTGAGTGGGGGTGAGGGTTGTCTCGATGAGTCATGGATCGAGACTGAAGCAGACTTCAATGCCTCCAGCCTGTATAACCTTTTGACTGCAAACTTACATGACAAAGCGCTGCAAATGGACTGCGGTCCTGAGAGTTCTGGCAGGCCATGCCACCCGCTAAGTGGGGTGCAGAAGCGCAGTTACAAAAGGGCGATTCGAAGGGCGCAGCAATGTGGCAGTGCTTGGTATCGTGGCAAATGCATGACGCTGGATCAACTGGCACCTGGCACCACACCGATCAGATCAATATCCAATCACCAGCACACACAGCCACCAACGAGGCCACATCAGATTCCTCAGAACAGAATGCACATCGGCCATGTGAATATGGGTGGACTCGCACAAGAGCGCCTCCATGAGGTAAAGATCTGGGCGCTTCAATCTGCATTGGATATTTTGCTCCTGAGTGAAACGCGCTGGTCATTTGAAGCGGAGTGGACCGACCAGTGGTGGTACCATATCCATTCCGGAACTGAAAGTGACAAGGCTGATGGACTGCTTTTTCTCATCAGAAAATCCTTGTGCCGCCCAGACCAGATTGGATTCACAGCTCCACTGCCAGGCCGCCTGGGCCACCTGAGATTGCATTTCCAGAAGAGATCCATGGACATACTAGGATGTTATCAATATGCTGACACCATAGATCATCACCGTATGCACCACCGTAGTCTTTTTTGGAATAAACTGGAACAACATGCCGCGCACTTGCCGCACCGCAACAGTGTTCTCATTTTGGGAGATTTCAACTGTAGTGCCACGCCAGCTGGACCCTATGCTGGCACCAATCAGCATACATGGAAAGGAGCACTTTGCACCAGCTCCCCACACCGAGACAGTCATGTCTTCATGGAGTTTTTACAGAAGTTTCATCTCAACATTTTGAACAGCTGGAATGCCAAGAATCCCCCAACGTTTGAGCACAGTTTTGCAGCCTCTAGCATTGATCACATGATCATGAGAATTGCCGATACTGATGCCACTGCCAAAGATGTGAAATTCATCACTGCAGCCCCTTTTCTGCCACTGGCCGGTGCTCGACACACGCCAATGATTTGTTCCGTGAGGAAAATCCCGTATGTGTTCACTCGCAAAGCACAGGCCAATGTGTGCAATTTCCAACAGAGACTTCGATGCAGATGCTCATGGCAGGCTCAAGATGCAACATGGCAACAATTTCACAGTAGTTTCACACAGAGGTTTCATGAATTCAGCCTGCAGCAACATGATGGCAGCACCCTCTTAGAGGACATGCACCACCATTTGCTGCCGATGTTTCATCAGGTTTTTCCTAAGGAATCCAACATAGCCCAACCACTGAGTGCACCCAACAGGGACCAAGGCCAGGTCATTCAGCAACTATGGAAGCACCGGACCTGCGTTGCACAGTGCCAGACAGTTGAATTGAAATCCCTGTTTCAGGTATGGTTTCATTTTGGCAGGTATCGACAGCTGAAAAGACTGCAACAACGTAGGACCAGACAGCTGAAGCACCAGAAGATGCAAGACCTACTCCTAGAAGTTGCACATGCATCCTCCAGACATGATAGCTTTGCCGTTTATCAAACCATCCGGAAGTATACGCCAAAACAGCCCATGAAACGCATACGACTCCGTTTGATGGATGGCACCCCAGCCAATGCTGAACAGGTGATGAACATGACCAGGGACTACATTCAGGAGATCTGGCATGACTCTGAACCCATTCAGCTGCTTCAACCAGCACCAACGGGCATTCCGTTTGATTTGGATGAACTTGTTTTGGAAATTTCCAAAATACCTGTCACCAAAGCAGTAGCACGCAGCTGCCTTCCTGGCATTTGTTGGAAGACCCATGCTCAACAGGTTGCTGAGTTTTTTTACGCCAAGCTCCAGGTCTGGTGGACCCAGCAACCAGTGTTCATACCCCAGCAGTGGAAAGATGCGCATTTGACTTTTATCAATAAACCCTCCAAGACTCCAGATAGACTTGGTCATCTTCGACCGTTGGCCCTGTTGGAACCGGTAGGGAAGTGCATCTTAGGTCTCATCACAGCCAAATTTGCAGCTGCAGTCCAGCCACTGCTTTGCCCCTGGCCACAACTGGCATTCATGCGTCAAAGATCAACCTATGATGCCATTCGAAGGGTTATCACACATTGCAACAAGGTTAGAACCATGACTGCCTCCCAGCGTCGCAGTGTGCATGCCCGTGCCAAGCAAGAACCCTGCTATCAGATCTGTGGTGGGATACAAGTGCTGCTGGACGCAAACAAGGCCTTCGATCTTGTCCCCAGAAAGTCACTGTTTGGCTTCATCAATGCCCTGCCCATCGATCAGGTGTTGGTCACTTTGCTGAGTGAATGGCACACAAACACAGCGTACGTTGTATCAGATGGAAGCACTGCTCAACGAGTTGCAACGGGACGGGGAGTCAGACAAGGATGTCGTGCAGCTCCAATATTGTGGTCAAGCCACACACTTCACTTGTTTTACCAACTGCGAGACAACATCAGCGCACAGTGGATCAAAAGTTGCCTCACTGCTTTCGCTGACGATCTTCATTGTTGCGAGGAGTTTTACAGTGAAATGCAACTGCAGTCGGCCCTAAAGAGGATAGGAATACTTTTGGATACGCTTGACAAGTTAGGAGTCCAGTTGTCCCTGGAGAAATCCCATGCTATTGTAAAAATAGGGGGCACTAACTGTCGACACCTACACAACAAATACGTCAAGACTGACTCCAAGGGTCCCTACATCATGATCCCTCGTGCCCATGGTGAATCAAGGTTGCCTGTCCAGACTCAAGCCAAGTATTTGGGTGTCATGGTAGGATACAACTTGTTTGAACGCAACACTGTCAGAACCAGACTGAAAGCGGCCCGTCACACCTTTGCCAGATTAAGACGATGGTTATGCGCCAAGCAAATTTCCAGGAAAACCAGGCTCCAACTCTGGCATTCATGTGTTTTCACAACTTTGGTGTACGGTATTTTTTCAACAGGGTTCACCCAAGTTGACCTGCTACAGATACAGCAAGGCGTGTTTTTGATGTACAGACAGCTTTTAGAAGACCACTCCTTTACAACACATCGCACTCATGCAGAAGTCCTTCATCATCACAACGTAGCACATCCTTTGCAATTGCTTCTCCATGCTGGACAGCAGCTACGTGACAGATTGAGCCGTCGACTCAACCAACTGGACAATGACGACATCTTATGGACAGTCGACTGGACTCATCTTGTGCCACTACTGCAGATGATTCAGAGCACATGGCATGAACACCTTCAGGCTCTGCTGACCATTCCTGGCGACGAGGCGCTGCTCCAGCCATACAGATGTCAGTTTTGTACGTTTGCCTGCAGTTCACTTGCCAATTTGCGCCGACATTTGACCAATGTGCATGGCCACACCCAAATGAGAACATATTTCACTACCATTGCATCTTTTGCTGTTGGTGGTCTCCCACAATGTTCCCATTGCCTTGAAGCCTTCACCTCCTGGCGCAATTTTCAAATTCACCTTGAGCGCAACTGCTGCCAGGCAGTGGACCCATCCAGGCATTTTGCCTTGAGCGTACAGACCAGGATGGCTTCTGATCAGCAGTATCCGAAACTGACCCCTGCGGCGTTGACTCTGTTGATGACCAAACCATATGGACCTACAGCACTGCAATGTGTCCGTGAACGCAACTGGGATGCCCTGCAAACTCAGCCTGATGCCCTGACTGACTGGACACATCACTGTGTTCTTTGTGGAGTTTTTTGCAACAGACCGCAGGATCTGAACCTGCACATGCGGACGCAGCATCCCACATTGCTGCCGCACGTGATGTCCAAGGCCAGCCAATTAGGGCGTGCACAAGCTTCAAATTCTCCCTGCCGGTTTTGCAGTAAGACATTTCGAAGAGTGCATCAATGTCCAGTCATGGTCCAGGCAGCAATACTTTTGGTCAACACAGATCCAACGGGCCAGTCCTATCAATGCCCAGGCAATGAAGTTCTGCGTTGTGATGTCTGCGCTGAACATTTTCAGGAGCTGCACCAACTTCACAGACACTTGCATCAGCAACACAGATTGGAACCGCTGGATTGGGACCCCCTTCGAGACATGTTATATAGATGGCACACAGCCGGTGTGCTCACACTGCCTTGCTATTTTCACAGAAAAATCAGCTCTTCGGCAGCATATCACGTTGGGGCAATGCCAGAACTTCAACCCGGCCAAACAGCCCACAGAATCACCTGTCTCTGCAGAATGGCAGGAGCTCCTCCAATCCGGAGATATTGCTCAGCTCTGTCAGGCTCCACAGAAGCGTTTGCACTTGACTTTGCGATGCCAATTTTGCCAAACGTCTTTTCAAAGAACGGGTGATCTCTCCCTCCATCTTCAAACTGTTCATAGTGTGTTATGGAGGGAATCTCAATCACATGTTCAGCTTTTGGTGGAAGCGGGACGTAGGCTTGGATGTCTGTGCAATCCCATGACTAATGCCAGTGGCCTTCAGCATCTCTGCGTTGCTTTCAGGCAGCTTGGAATGATGGTGCAGAAGATGGCGCAACCCATGTTCTTGCCTTGGACGTTTGAGCGTGCACAGCTGCGCCAGTTTTTGGCAGCTGTACATCATGAGCCTGCAAGTGAACGACTGTGTGATGTCCTGACTGCCAGACACTTTGACCAACTGTGGACGGACCCACTGCTGGTGCAGTTTTTGCGCACAAGATGCCTGCTTTGTGGCCTTCAATTTCATCCTGCTGAAGTGTCTGGCCACCTGCACAGGGCCCATTCCTGAGATTTGCACGACCATCGAGCCATGATGCCACAGCTGTTAACAGCCATGAGCCGTGAAAATCAACATGACCATCAATGTGAGCTGTGCACACAGATCTACAATTATCCAGCGCATGGCCATGAAGATGCACAGGAACTCACTGACCGATCAGTCTTGGCTCAGATTCACCTGCAGCACCAGTGCCCTGTTGCCCTACAAACTGCATTGCTTCTTCAAGATCATGGACTACTCGCCACACTTCACGGCAGAGGACTCCGCAATGCTGGAGACGTTCAAGCAGATGGGCTCACTGCTCACCCAAGAAAGGTACGCTCGACCCGACGTCGCCAGGGAGAGCAAGAAACACAAGCCGAATGGGGCAACGCCAGAAGAACCAGACGTCGCAACGCTGCCCCTATTGAGGGCAATGGGCCAACTACTGCTACGAGTGGATGCGGAGCAACAAGCTCTCAAACGTCAAGACTCATGGATTTGCTTTATGCAAACCGAGCCGCAGGCCCTGCTCCCAGCGCTGGTCCAGAAGGCAGCCGAATGGAAACAGAGGCTGACAGTGAAGCAGGAGACCCCGGAGGTGCCGTTCTTGCCACTGAGATGCTATCTGGCCCAGCACCTGGCGGCCACATTGAATCAGAGGGTTACCCGACTGGCCAGCTGCGGCAACGAGGACCCACTGAAGAAAGTGGCCCTGGATCAGGGAGTTCTGACCCGGAAGGCCAGTTTGTGTTCCAGCGCTGGAGCCCACAAGCACAGAGCCTCAAGTCCACGGGCCAAACCCCCATCTCCCTGCAGAGGATGGCGAAGTATACAGAACAACTCATGGAGATCCTGAAAGATCCCAGTGCCACGGTGAAATTCACCAGCTTGAGACCGATGTCAGCAGATGCAGTGGTGCCGTGGATTTGGCAAATATCCATGCGAGCAGACGACCTACAAATCCTGCTGACAACGTTGCAGGGGTGCACGGTTTGGGCTCTGTTGGGCCTCTCCATGAAGCCCCATGCCCTTCACCAGAGCAAACAGGGCCAACAGCTCCAGACAATGCTGGGGAAGGGTCAAGGCAAAGCGCCGAGCAAAGGCAAGGGCAAACATCAGAACAAAGCCAAAGTGCAGCAATAGCGGATAGCTCTGATGATGTTGCTCTGCCAAACAGACACTCTTTGCTACGGGGCCTGGCCAATATCCGACTGGCCAATGACTCCAACTGGTGCTATGTGAATGCGGCCTTCCTGACCATACTTTGGTCCTATCTGAGTCTTCAAACGTTTGACTTGGACCAGTGGGGATCTCATGCCATCCAAATTGCCCAACTTTTATATCGATCTGGTTCGGAACCCATTGAACTGTCAAAGATTGATTTTTTGCAACCAGTTTTTGAACAATGGCAGCATTTGGGCAATCAGGGTGACCCGGTTGAATTTCTTGCTCATCTGATGCGGGGACTCAGTTTTACTGGCATCAATTTGAGTTGGGAAAAGCGTGTGCAGATTGGTCTCCTCACTGAAGTCATGGATGAAAGTGATGCTTACACACCACTTATTTTGCAATTTGATCCGGCTATGTTACAGGATGACTCCTTAACTTTGAGCCAAATGATTCGTGATTGGTCCAATCAAGATGGAATGGTGACTGCGCTGACGCACCAGACACCCCTCATCTGTGTGCAACTGGACCGACACATTCGCTCAGGCACTGGACAGATTGCTAAGTGCGACATCCCAGTCAATTTCCACTGGGGCATTGACTTGCCTTTTTACACTGGACAGGACCTTGCCATCCACTGGCGCTCATACAGAGTCATTGCTGCCATTGCGCACTTAGGTCATGACACAGCAGGCCACTGCAGAACCATGCTGAGAGTCCAGATGAACTCTACAGCGCGGGAACCATACATGTTTCTTTTGACTGAAGATTGGACGCAGGCCAAACCGATCTGGAAGGAGCCTTCTTGGTTTTTGCGTAACATCTCCTGCTTTTGGCTTGGTGAATGGGATTCCGTTGATCTGCATCAATTTTCAGAGCCTGCCCTGAGCCATAACACGCGACTGACTGCAGTGACGCCTTCCGTGGTGGGTGCACAAGATTTGCTCAGCCACTTTGTTGAGGGAACCGATGACAGTGTCCTGAACACCTGACAGCCAGCAGCCAGTTGACCTTGCACTCCCCCTATGCACCCTGCGCCATGCAGGTTGATCCTATGAATGCCAGAGTGATCCCCCCTGAGAAAAAAAAAAACGGGGACAAGAGGCAGATGGCCCAAGTAGGTGCAGAAAGCCCCGAAAAAAAAAAAAACCTTACGTTTCACCATGGGTCCAACGAGACAAACTCCCTGCGTGGGTAGTCCAGTGGCCACCACGTGAGCGACACTCATAGCAGCTGACAATGCAAGGGGTCCCATCATTGATTGTTGCACAGGCCTGGCTGGCGCTTTTCAATTTGCTGCCATTTTGGCACAACCAACTGGCATTTTGCCATGCATCATTTGGCTCCGTGCCACCTGAACTCCTGGACACTGGTGGGCATATGGACGCCATCCATGCCATTTGATACCCTGTTCAATGCTGGTGCCTTCAGACGACCAATTGGATATCCTGTATCCATCCCAATGCCTGTTTCCCCCATGCACCCTGCGCCCAGCAGATAGATCCCCCATTTTTGCATGCCCTCCGAATCCCGGAGTGTACCCCTGCAGAACTGGTCCAAGAGGCGAAGCCCATTGTGTCACGAAGACCAGTATTAAAAAAAAATAAAAAAAATAAAAAAATAAAGGCAGACTGGACCAAGAGGCAAAGCCCATCGTGTCAAGAAGTCCAGTATTAAAAAAAAAAACGCTGTTGCTTCTATCATTTCTCTACGTTTCACACTCTGTTTCACACATCTTTTGTTGCCATCGTAGCTTTTCACCCCATGAGCGAGGCATCTCTTAGTTTAACTCCAGCTTTTGTGCATTGCATGCTGGGAATTCTCCAAAGCCCCTTGTTCCAAGGGCCATCATTGAAGGGATGATGCAGCGCGCGCAGACTTTTACAGAAAAGGAGCGTAGGAAAAAAAAACACAAACACACACACACTTGCGAAGTCATGAAAGACGGTCTCTTTTCATGAATGCAAAGTCTGATTACCTCATGGTAGATTGAAGGCATCACTCGGCCATACCGAGTTAAAAAAGGCCAAGCTTATCCGTTGACATTTGAATGTCAGGTTGTTTAAAAGAGAAACCAATACGGCTCAATCAAAAGTGATCATGAAATGACTGAATGACGGCATGCAGGTTCTTGGGTTAGCCTGATCCCATAAAGTACTAACAGATACGAATATGACCACCAGCTATGACCCCAACATATTGGGTATGTCATCCAGGTGCATCATGCAGGTACGTTTTCACAACCTAAGGTGAGCGTCTTCATTGGCACAAGACTCACCAAAGGTCCTTGTGCCCCCTGCTGTGAATTAAGGTGCAATGGTATCCATAATTTATGGAAGAAAGCAGTTAAAAAAACTAGTTGGTTGAAATCAGCCGCAAAAAGTGAGGAACTCTTCGGTACAGAGCTTGACACACACAAAAAGGCACGTAGCCGGGCTTGTATTCCTTTAAAGGCGAGAATGGAAGACATCATCAAGAGATTTGTGAAAAAACCGCAGAGGAACATTTGCAACCTCATCAGCGTGTCAGTAAATATTTTTTTTGCCACAGCCAAAAGGTTAGGTATGCTTGAGCTGCCTTCTGTACAGGACGCGTTGGCAGTCTGTTTTGGAGAACCCTTTCTGTACATACAGCTGAATGAGTTGGTTGAGATCATCACGGACAAATTCTTTGGGAAACGTGTATCTGCGAATTAAGGTTGCACGGGACTTTAGTCCGGACAAGCGGAGACGCATGCTGCCAGCAGAATGGAGATGACGAATTTCCCATAGTGGAGGTACTTGGTACCTTACGGTTCGTTGCACTACGTCAATGGTGAACCCAAGGAGTGTACCATCTTGGACGGTTTCCAACTCCACCGGCGCTTGATAAAAGAAACAATCGGAAAGCACTCGCATGGGCAGTGCGGAGCGAAAACGGTGGTCAAACAAAATGAATCTGTTGTCCACATATCTTGTGAACAGAAGCCTTTCTGTACATATAACCGAGATAGTGCGTGCAACGAACTCTGTGCTTGACAGGACGGAAATGAATATTTACGAATTAAATGAGCTCGACTCTTCAGTCCGCTCAAACGCAATCGGAGGGTTCCGGCTGAAATGATTGTTCTTTCAGAAACATCAACATAAAAGCCGAGAAGTAAAATTGTCGGCAACCAGCTCCAGTTCGACTGGACTACCATAAAAGTCCAAGTCTGTAAACACTTTGAACACTGGAGCCTGAAGATGGTGCTTCTGTACAATGACAAAACGGCTGTCGACGTACCTGATTGCAAGATGATGAAAATTTGGTTGAGTCAGAACTTCTTGATAGGTACTGCTCCACGATCTCTCGATAAGCGTCACGGCCAAGTTCGAAAGTGTCGGAGAAATCTGACTTCCTATTCCAGCGCCCCTGATTTGGCGCCATACAACACCAAGTGCTGTGAAAAAGTGAGTCCGCTGTACACGTGGGTCGACCCCCTGCCTTAAAACTGAAAAATTGAAAAACTGAAAAACAGAAAATTCGCAAACCCCTTGGAAACAGGGGTTGACCCTACACACAAAGGCCTATCGCCGCTGGTATTTGTCGGCCACAACGCACTGTGAATATCTGACAAAGCGAAGCCTTTCTGTACATATAACCGAGATAGTGCGTGCAACGAACTCTGTGCTTGACAGGACGGAAATGAATATTTACGAATTAAATGAGCTCGACTCTTCAGTCCGCTCAAACGCAATCGGAGGGTTCCGGCTGAAATGATCTTTCAGAAACATCAACATAAAAGCCGAGAAGTAAAATTGTCGGCAACCAGCTCCAGTTCGACTGGACTACCATAAAAGTCCAAGTCTGTAAACACTTTGAACACTGGAGCCTGAAGATGGTGCTTCTGTACAATGACAAAACGGCTGTCGACGTACCTGATTGCAAGATGATGAAAATTTGGTTGGGTCAGAACTTCTTGATAGGTACTGCTCCACGGTCTCTCGATAAGCGTCACGGCCAAGTTCGAAAGTGTTGGAGAAATCTGACTTCCTATTCCAGCGCCCCTGATTTGGCGCCATACAACACCAAGTGCTGTGAAAAAGTGAGTCCGCTGTACACGTGGGTCGACCCCCTGCCTTAAAACTGAAAAATTGAAAAACTGAAAAACAGAAAAATTCGCAAACCCCTTGGAAACAGGGGTTGACCCTACCCACAAAGGCCTATCGCCGCTGGTATTTGTCGGAAAACCGAGATAGTGCGTGCAACGAACTCTGTGCTTGACAGGTTGGAAATGAATATTTGCGAATTAAATGAGCTCGACTCTTCAGTCCGCTCAAACGCAATCGGAGGGTTCCGGCTGAAATGATTGTTCTTTCAGAAACATCCACATAAAAGCCGAGAAGTAAAATTGTCGGCAACCAGCTCCATTTCGACTGGACTATACCATAAAAGTCCAAGTCTGTAAACACTTTGAACACTGGAGCTTGAAGATGGTGCTTCTGTACAATGACAAAAAAGCTGTCGACGTACCTGATTGCAAGATGATGAAAATTTGGTTGAGTCAGAACTTCTTGATAAGTACTGCTCCACGATCTCTCGATAAGCGTCACGGCCAAGTTCGAAAGTGTCGGAGAAATCTGACTTCCTATTGCAGCGCCCCTGATTTGGCGCCATACAACACCAAGTGCTGTGAAAAAGTGAGTCCGCTGTACACGTGGGTCGACCCCCTGCCTTAAAATTGAAAAACTGAAAAACAGAAAAATCGCAAATCCCTTGGAAACAGGGGTTGACCCTACACACAAAGGCCTATCGCCGCTGGTATTTGTCGGCCACAACGCGCTGTGAATATCTGACAAAGCGAAGCCTTTCTGTACATATAACCGAGATAATGCGTGCAACGAACTCTGTGCTTGACAGGACGGAAATGAATATTCACGAATTAAATGAGCTCGACTCTTCAGTCCGCTCAAACGCAATCGGAGGGTTCCGGCTGAAATGATTGTTCTTTCAGAAACATCAACATAAAAACCGAGAAGTAAAATTGTCGGCAACCAGCTCCAGTTCGACTGGACTACCATAAAAGTCCAAGTCTGTAAACACTTTGAACACTGGAGCCTGAAGATGGTGCTTCTGTACAATGACAAAACGGCTGTCGACGTACCTGATTGCAAGATGATGAAAATTTGGTCGAGTCAGAACTTCTTGATAGGTACTGCTCCACGGTCTCTCGATAAGCGTCACGGCCAAGTTCGAAAGTGTTGGAGAAATCTGACTTCCTATTCCAGCGCCCCTGATTTGGCGCCATACAACACCAAGTGCTGTGAAAAAGTGAGTCCGCTGTACACGTGGGTCGACCTCCACTAGAGGGAAGGCTGAAGACGGTCTCAAGGGAGGAGGAGCAGGAACTCTGGGAGGAAGAACATGCGCTCTGGGAGGAATGTTTCCAACATACGGGTCCCAAAGACCAGTATGAATGTGCCATTGACCTGGTGGAGGACGGAGAGCTTGAGAGAAAGAAGAAAGAGCCGTTCAAACTGACCTACCTCTTTCAGATCTCGAAGTGGACCTCAGAGAATGGTGATCACGATGATGGTGACGGTGATGGGATGCTCGATGACGACGTCTTGTTCTGGATCTGGAGCAACTTGATGTTGTGCGTCTTTCCTGTTTGTCATCATCTGTTCCAACCGGCACCTGAGGTTGGACTGCTGACGGTCGACGAGGTACGGAGATCGTTCCTGGAATTGCGGCTGGGGCTACTACCGGAGTTGCTGGAGGAGCATGTGGTGTCAATGCCAGTCTTACTGCTGGCTTCGCCGGTGCCTTGGGTGGCCGAGGTGGAGTCGGGTCCACGTTGCCGGCCACAAAATAAACATTATACACCGGAGTCGACATGGCTCAGAAGGGGTGTGACAGGGCGGAGCTGTTCAGGCTTTACGGGTCGGCGTTCCGTCAGGCGATGGTGGGTAAGTGGCGTTTCTTTTCCCCTTTTTACCTGCCACAAAATAAACATTATACACCGGAGTCG